AGAGCTCCCCCTGGTGGAGGAGACAGGAAGCGCATGTCTGTGATGGCAGGAGAAGGGTGTAGACTTAGCGGGTGGCCCCCAAGTGTTACATCCAACATTCCAGCAGCTAATGCTGGGGATAGGGAGGGAGGCAGAGGAACTGTTAGAGGCAGTTAGAACAAGTGCTCGTTTGAGGGGTCCACAGTGAGGACAGTAAGAATGAGAAGAGAAAGGCAGTCTAGGAGTGAAGGACCCCGAGGTTTCAAACTCAGTACTGCCCTGGGAGTTGTCAGGTGAGCCTGGTGTGGGATGGGTGTAGACTCTGCATCAAAGAGAACTTAACTTATGCCAGTGTCTGGGCTCGGTGCTTTGTCAGCATCTTTTCATTTAAATCCTCACAGCAACCCTCGGGGATAATGATGGTAGTATTCTCTTCAGCAAATGTGGAAACTGAGGCTCCAGAGTCTGCTGAACTTGCCCAAGCTTGCAGAATTATGAGGGACAGATGGCCAGCCATCTGCTCTGGGCCAGATTCACCTGCTGGCGTGGCTGAAGGAGGGAAGCCCAGTGACTCCAGGTCACCTGTGATTGGTCGGATGCAGCTGGACTGCAGGACCATACCAGCCTCTCGGAAAAAGTTAAACTGTATGAGGCTGCCCCAGAACCCTCCCATCTGTGGTGTAGTAGCTTTCCCACACCAGAGAATGAGATACAGGGATGTGATTGCTGAGGATGGAAAAAGGTGGAGAGGAATCTAAAAGGGGAAATGGGGTGTATTAGTCTGCTTGGGCTGCCATTAGATACCACAGACTGTGTGGCTTAACTACAGAAATGTACTTTCTCACAGTTCTGGAGGCTGAAGTTCAAAATCAAGGTGCCAGAATGGTTGGCTTCCCCTGGGGTTCTCACCCCTTGTCTTGCAGAGGGCCGCCCCCTGCAGCCTGCCCACGTAGTTGTCCTTCTGTGTGTGGGCTCTGCTGCTGTCTCTGTCCTAACCTCCTCTTCTAATAAGGACACCCGTCAGATCCGATGAGGACCCACCCAAAGGCTTCATCTTAACTCAGTTACTCATCTGAAGGCCCCATTTCCAAACACAGTCACCTTCTAAAGTACTGCAGCTTAAAGCTTTGATATATGAATTTGGAGGGGGTGCATAATTCAGCCCATAACACTCCACCCTCTGGATCCCCCCAAAGCTATGTCCTTCTCACATGCAAAATACATTTACCACCAGCCCAATGGCCCCAAAGTCTTATCCCATCCCAATATCAACTCTAAGCCTCAGAGATATGAAATAGGTCCCAAATTGCTAAATAGGGATTAAGGTAAAAGGGAGTTCAAAGAAAGAAAGAAGGTATTGGTGAGGCTATAGCTCCATAAAGCACAGAATAATCTTAGAGTGGGGCTGGGAAGGATCCACTGAGAGCAAAGGGCCTGATGCTAAGGTCTCACCAGGTCAGGACCATCCTCACGGAAGAGGACTGGGTTAGTGAGGACAGGGTGGGGTTAGAGGTTAGGAGGGTGGGGGGCTTGTGCAAAGCTCTGAGTACAAGAGATTCGTCTGCCCGCTCAGCCTCTGCATGGAGACAACTCTGTGTGTGTGTGTGTGTGTGTGTGTGTGTGTGTGTGTGTTAACACCATTATTGTTTTACACACCTCAGAGACCCAGGAGCCAGGATGATGGATCTATTGATTAACATTTTTGTTCACTTCAAGATATGGTATGTGTGTCCCTTTTGAGACACCTTTTGCTGGAGGCAATTGCCTTTACCTTGAATGTTATTGGGCCTCTTTGTACCCTGAAGTCTAGAAGAAGATGTGGGCCCCCCCTAGAGAGGCAGAGAGGGACCTGATCCCAGGGTGGGAAACACCACAGGGGCCTGAGCTTCCAGAGTGGGGCCTGTTCTTCAGTCTCTGGGGAAGCCTGCAGAGCCCAGCCTGCCAGCCCTGATCTGGAGTCTTTGATGACTTGAAGGCTCTCAGAATGACAGGAACTTCAACCTGTGGTTCCCAAACTTCCTTGCACATGATCACCACATGAGGGGCTTGCTAAAATAACAGACTTCTGCTCTTTTGTTTGGAGATGTCTAGGAGTAAGTAAGTTGCATGATCCAGCATTTCAACAAGCAGCTCAAGGGAGTTTTATGGCCCATTGATCAATACTTTGAAAGAAACCTGGGTCTCATTCAGCCCCCTATCACTGTGATCAACTGGAGAAGGTGGACCCAGAAAATGGTGCGGAGGCAGCCCAACTTTAGTACACCTTGGTCACCCCACGTGGTTTTCAAGAAGCAGGAAGACCTCTGTGGGGGGATTATCAACCCTGTCAGACTCACTGGAGGTAATATCCTTCCACAGCTCTGTGGCCTCCAGTCAATGACCCTGGGAATACTTCAGCCGTGGACGAAGTTGGGTTTATTACTCATTGCGATGAGGGAGAACATACATGGCGGGGGCAGAGGGGAGGGACCTGATTGTGTGCGTAAGAGGACAAAGCTAGACAGAAGCCATCGGAGGACTTGGGCTTTGGCCAGGCGATTTGCAGAAGAGAGAGTCCAAGAAGACAGAAGTCTGCTCAGGATTGAGAGCCGTCAGAAAGCGGGGCAATCCCGTGAGTGGGTATCTCAATCAACTTGATCCATAGGGAGGCGGACACTATAATTAGTGAAAGAGCAGCAATCAGTCGCCTTAGCTGGGAGGAGGGCTGTTTGGTATTTTATGGTTTGCACAGCATTCAGGTCTTGTCTGTGTTCAGGCGTGGTTAGGGAATAGACTTGTTTTTATCTTGTTCTATCATGGTTGCAGGTGGCCTTTCTGATATTAACGTTCTGGGAAGTTGTTTACATCCAACAGGAGGGCACCAAGGCCAACTCCCAGACAAGAGTGCTGCTCTTCTCCTTCTCACCACGCTATCACGGGCCCCATCCAGAACCTGGGTGTTTTGTACACTGTCTGAAGGAAGGACAGCAGCCTCTATGCTGAGCTCATTGCCAACCCCTCCGCTACTCGAGTCCCTGTGAGGCTCTAGGTGTTCCTTCCCCGACTTGACACCAGGAGTCGGCTCCCTCCTCTGGCTCTTCCCTCTCAGCAATGGTTTTCCTCCGGCCCCTTTAGCCGCTGCTCGTCCCACTAAAAGGAGTGCAAAAGGAGACACCCTCACTCTGTTCCTTTGTGCCTTGATTTCACATGCTGCTCTGCTGCTGAGTTGCTGTGTCGCTATGACTGTCACCAATGAGAGACCCCACGCTGATTTCTCCCTACAGTACTTGGCCCAGCCAGGCACTCATGCAACAGTAGTGAGGGTGATGTGTACGGTGTGGAAGCTGATGGTGTTTCTAGTGTTGATTTGGGTAACAGTGATGATTTGGCTAGCATGGTGGTGATCACTATAATAGTGACAGTGAGAGCGATCGGGGTGTTAAGGATAGTGATGGGGGTGGTGATAGAGGTGATAGTGGTGACCATGGAGACAAGGTGATGGTGATGGTATTGTTGGTAGTCGAGATGGTGAAGAGGGCAGTGTTGAAGAGGTGATGACCGAGATCGTGGCCATCACAGTGATAGGGAGGGCAAATGCAGTAATTATGGAAAAGATTAATTTGTAGGTTGAGACCCTTATGGTTTTTCAGTGGTGTTCACAGAATAATCTCAGAGAGTTTATTAAGTCTTCTACTTTCTTCAGGCAAGGAAACTCTAAATCAACTTTCTAAGGTTGCTTATGGGCAGACAGTGATGCAGAAAGAAGATGGTGCGACAGATCTCCCATCTCCCATGTCAGCAGCCCCAGGCTTGCCCTACCTCCAGGCCCCTGGAAAGGAGATGCAGATGGCTGCTTCACTGCTGGCAGTGTCCTCAGACAGAAGGGGGCTCCCTGACGGGCCCCAAAAGCTGTCAGGCACCTGGGGAGACTCAAGAGACCCATCTCTGATAAGACCTGTCATATGCAGGCGTGGACAAGTGTGGATACAGGATAAGGGGCCTGGAGCTGCAGAACCCATGATGTCCCTCAAGGCAGGGGTGCCCAGAGCAGATGGTCTAGACCAGGACACTCAGGCCAAGATACAGGAAAGCTGGGTGAGCAGACTGAAAGGGAAAAGCTGGGAATGGAGAAGGCAGGGCTGACAGCCTGGGGTGGAACTGGCTAAACCTTCCGGGAAAATCACTTGTTTGGAAAATGCTTGAGGCAAAAGGGCTCTGAATCCAGGTCAAATATTGCATCTAACGATGGACTGTTCTACCCACCCTTCTATAGGAGCGCCCAGTGACTGACCTTGGGGCAGGGAAAGGGCGGTCCTATAACAGGGGCTGTTACACCCTACCCTGGGCTTCCCAAGTGGCTCAGTGGTAAAAGACTCCACTTGTCAATGCAGGAGCCACAGAAGACATGGGTTTGATCCCTGGGTCAGGAAGATTCCCTAGAGGAGGAAATGGCAACCCACTCCTGTATTCTTGCCTAGAGAATCCCATGGACATAGGAGCCTGGAAGACTACAGTCCATGGGGTCACAAAGAGTTGGACAGAATTGAGCAAGTGAGCATGCACATGCGCGCGTGCACACACACACACACCCTACCCTAGGAGGTCCTGACCTACTCCACATGGCCTCCATGACTTCATCCCTCCTTAAGACACTCAGGACTCAGAGACATAGAGATCAGGGGGCCTCAGGTTTAAAGAGATCCCTCAGTCAGTTCAGTTGCTCAGTTTTGTCCTACTCTTTGTGACCCAATGGACTGCAGCACGCCAGGCTTCCCTGTCCATCACCAACTCCCAGAGTTTGCTCAAATTCATGTCCATTGAGTCNTGATATTTCTCCCCATCATCTTGATTCCAGCTTGTGCTTCATCCAGCCTGGCATTTCTCATGATGTACTCTGCCTATAAGTTAAATAAGCAGGGTGGCAATACACAGCCTTGACGTACTCCTTTCCCAATTTAGAACCAGTCTGTTGTTCCATGTCGTGTTCTAACTGTTGCTAGGAGATCCCTAGGGAACCTATGAATCACATGGTGACCTTCACAGTGCTTGTCATCTGGGGAATCAGCAGCATAATTTCCCCCAGTGAACACTCTATTCTGTATCATTCAAGGTCCAATCAGGAGAACGTAACCCATACTAGGTATTTCCATCAGAGAGATTTAATACAGGAAACTGGTTACACAAGTATTGGAGGAATTGAGGAACCAAAAAGTGGGTGCAGAAGTACCAGAGGTCAGCAAGAGCCGGAAGCCACTGTGACCCTGAGGGAAGGGGGGACAACGGAAGGTGCAGTTACCAGAAACCAGGTGCCAAGGCTGTGGGGTAGGCGTTGGAACCGCGTTGGAGAATCAGTCGCCCTGAAGAGATGCCTTAAAGCAGGACAAGAGAGGGAGAGATACCCTGGCTTCTCACTTTTCCTTTTCTGCTATCTCCCACTATTCCCCCTATTAGCTGACCCAACGAGATACTAGCTGGCAAAGGAGGCTGGGAAGCATCCTATGCAGGAAGGCTGGAAAGAGATCTGAAAGCAACTAGGCAGTGACCACTCTAGGTTACGACCTTAGGAAACTGAAATACCTTAAGGTCTCAAGGACTCAGTGACTAACATCCCTTTCCCCACACCTCTTCAGAATTTTCTGAGAAATAGATACAGGAGTCAAGCAAAATGGAAACAAAATATTACCTTCAGTACCACTGAAGAACATAGGGGACTGTGACATTAAGGTCTCTTAGCCAGGTGGGCTTGTAATACCTCATGCCTAAATTTACTAGGCTTACTGAGTCTCAGGCAGAGCTGGGCATCTGCAGTCCCACCCTCCTCCCATGGTGGGAAAAAGCAGAACATCTGTACTTTCTGTCAAGAGGAAGATCCCCAAATCAGAGAGCACTCAGATTCTCCCCCAAAGCTGCCCACAGAGAAATCACCTCTTCCCCAGGGGGGCAGTGAGGGAGGTGATGGAAAGAGGAGAGGACTGTTGCTCTAATGAAGGGCCCTCTGTGTGGAACCAGAGACCAGATGACCTGAAAGCATAGTCTCCAGTTGGGAATGATGAGTCACCTCTATGAATCCCTGCTGAGTGGTCAGCCAGCCATTCCTGAAAATGGTGAGTAATGGGGACTCAGAAGTATGTGAAATAGCACATTCCATCTTTATACAGTTCAGATGGTTAAAACGTCCTTTATAGTAATCTGAATTTTTCCTGTAGTTTCTATTTCTCCCTGGGGTGAAGGCTTGGGGCTTCACATAACATCTCTGATCCATTTTCAGCAAGACGACGTTGAAGATGTACTTAAAGAGGGCAAGCAAGTATATCATCCCGAGACACAAGTTCTCTAGGCCAAACACTCCCAGTCCTTTCAATTTGCTCTTATGTGTCCTTAGTTTCCCGACCATTCAGCACCCTAGCGTCCTCTTTCTGGAGAAACTGAGTTGGTCAAGGTCCTTTTTAAGGTACGGCACCCACAACCAACCACACCAAGAAATCATATTGTCATCTCTGCCACTGGAGTTACCACCCTGAAGCCCCCATCAGCATAGGGGCTTTAGAGTTACCATCGCTAGTTCTACCCCATGAGGCAGGTACAATTGTTTTCCCTTAGAGTTGGGGAAAACAGATTCAGTGAAGCTATGACTTCCCTGGGGTCCCCCAGTTAGCACGTGACTCCAGACTGTCAGGTCACAAAGCCTATGTTTGTTCCCCGAGGACACACAGTTCCCAACGCTAAGAGTAACCCATTTGCAGGCCTTATGGTTGAAGAAGCCCAGGGAGGGGAGAGCTCCTGTGACTCTGGATCCACAGGGAGTGAGAGGAAGACGAGGGAAGGGGAAGAACAGGGGTCCTGCCAGCCCCTTCTCTGCCCTGACATGGATGCTGTGTTTGCAGGCCCGTTGGTGACCCTGCCCTCTTCACTGGCGAACATGACCTTTCTTCTTTCAACAAACCCAAAAACGTAAGTGATCGGAGCAGCAGTGTCTCCTGGCTCCTCACAACAGGAAACCTCAGGACCCAGAGCCACACTCTTCTCCTGTTTATTTCGATGTGTTTTAGGCAAATAGCTCCTATAGAAATGCTCATCTCTGTCTATAGTGGAAAAGCTCTCAGCTGTTGCCAATACCTGAGACAGAAAGGAAATCACGTGTTAATAATTCATCAGGGGGTGTGTGTGTGTGGCTACCTGAGAACAAGTCTCATATTTCTCATTTATAGGCCTCTGATACCATCCGACAGAAATCCATTCTTAAGTGAAATATTGATAGGTTTACTCTGCAATCTTAAGCAGGCCTCCTAAATTGCTGTAATTAAGGCTAGTAAAGAGGGGTGGCAGCAAAGAGGGGCGACCAGAGATGCCGGGCCTGAGAACACGCACATATACATACAGCTGGTGATTAAACTGAGCTGATGGTTGAATTCCAAAAAAAAAAAAGAGTCATAAAAAGACATCTCAGGCACTCTGGTTCCTGCTCCCAGCTCAGGGTCCCTGCCCCGTCCATATCCACTTTGGATCTAAAGTCTCCAGCCTGGAGACTTCCCTGACAGTCCAGTGGTTAAGACTCTGAGCTTCCACTGCAGGGGCCGCAGATTTGATTTTTGGTCAGGGAACTGAGTTTCTGCAGATGGACAAAAAATAGGGGGGAAAAAAGTAATACTTTCAAAGAACTAAAAGCTGTAAAGAAAAAAAAATTAGAAGATTTTAAAAAGTCTCAGCCAGACTTGTCCTAGTGGCCAAATGGCCATTTCTACGATCACATCTGCTCTTTGCTCATAGCTGAGCTGGCCCTACACGTAGAGGACGGAGAACCAAGTCTTTAAGACAAGGAGATGCCCACCTCAGGGGGAGAGAGGGCCCCTGAGAACCATAGCCCCTTGTCCAGGTATACTGCCTATGGGACCCCTTCTGCCTGGGGGGTGGGGGTGTCCATGATGAGGTGATAGGAGGTGGTCAGATGGGGCTGAGACGGAGTGGGCACTGGAGACTCAGGAAGATGTGGATGGGCTAGAAAGACAAGAATTAGAAACATAGGAGCAGGGTCTTCCCTGGCGGTCCAGTGGCTAAGACTCCACACTTCCAGTGCAGGGGGCCCAGGTTCGATCCCTGGTCAGGGAACTAGATCCCATGTGTTGCACCGGGCTCAGCCAATAAATAAATAAACACAGGAGCATGCCAGAGGGAGTGAAGGATTTGTATCCTCTTCAAAATCGAGCTTAGGGCTCCTTGTGTCGTAGCGAGGAACGTCCCGGGAGACTGTGAGGGGTCCTGAGGCCTGGCTTTGCTCACGGGGAGATTTCAGAGGGGCTTCCTTCCTGCTCCTCTTGGGACCTTTTTCTCCCTCTGTACCCTTTCCTTCCTCTCTCTCTTCCTCCCTCTCTCCCACTTCCTTCCTTTGCTTCTTCCTCTCATCTTACCTTCTTCCTCTTTCCTGTCTTTCTTTCCCGACAGTATCAGAGGCCGTGGTAAATATTTTTCAGAAAGGCTTTAATTAAAATGTTAAACCCTCAGCTGCAGCCCCAGCAACTTTCCTAGAACTATACATCTTCTCAGCAGCTAATTATTTAAAGTAAAATAGTGGCATTCAGTCTGTATGTGAGAGATTAACATATTAATGGGGAGGTGATTACGCTTTAGCCCAGACGTTTGGTCCTGGAGTGGAAGCTTCAATGGGCTGTGTCCCCAGGGCCTGGTTCTTTATACCTGAACAGGTGTCTCATCTCCTCCTGGATCCCTGAGCTAAAGTGGGAGGCCAGGCTCCCTCCTCCAGACACCCTTTCTCTCTGTCTGTGAATGCTCCATCATAATTAAGAAATGTGTGACTCAGAGAAGAAGGGAGATGGTGGGAGCAAAATGTGAGGATGAGGAAGAGTGGGAGCAGTGGAAACAGTCACGGGCATGGGAACGGGGACAGGGCGTAAGTGTCGGCCAAAGTTTCCAGCAGCTGACACTGGACAGTTCAGAGAGGGAGGCTGTTTTCTTCCAGATTGCAGTGGGGTGGGAGGGTGGGATGGGTCAGGGCTGGAAGAGGATTCAGACCTGGATTGGGATCCTCTGGAGGGGCTGTGAGTCTTGGTCACTTGCATTTAATCATTCATCTGTTTATTTATTCATTCATTCAACAGTCTACGTACATGAGCAATGTCAGAGGCGTCCTATCATGCACTGGGGGCCAGAACTGCCAATCTGCAATCCCCAGCCTCAGGGAACAGCCTAACACAATATCACCTGCATGCATACTTGGTCCCTGGTTCATCTCCTTGAGACGCAGAACCATGTGCTCTCCATTTTCAGGATGCAAAGATCACCAGAATAAAAGGCATAGGGGCCACATAGAGGTGAACAGGAAAAGATGTCTCTTTTTCACCATACCACCACTCACCCTGACACGGAGAGGTGCCTGTGTCCCAGCTGGTCACCCCTGGAAGGGCCTCCACTGGATTAGTCTAAATGTCTCCTTGTATAGCTGAGAGATGGAGCCCAGAGAGGGTGTGACACCACTCAAAAGTTACACAGCTAGTCTACCTGAAGTGTGACCAAAGCCAGGATAAACCCCACAGATACCCCTCAAGAGGTGATGTCAGACTAGGGGGATTGTCTACAAGAATGCACCTGTCAGACCAGGTTCCATGTCTGCCAGAAGCTGGCACCATGTGAGTGGTGGAGTGGGGTCACGTTGACTCTCTTAATGGTGTGTGGTGCTTGGAAGCTTAGTGTGAGAGAGAAGAGATCAACAGTTCTGGATCCAAATCCCATCTCACATACTTAGTTGCTGGGCAGGCTTGGGTAAGTTATTCGAATTTTTGGAATCTTGTTTACCTCCTTTGTCAAATGGACACAATAAAGCCTGTCATCCCCAGGAGATATAGGGACCAGAATGGATGTAGAGCTCTGGTACAGTGCTGGGCAGGAGATCAATAAAAGGAATCATTACTGGATGAGCTTGGCCACGAGGGTAAGTCCAATTGTCTTCTGAACAGGTGCCACTTAAGCCAGGGTAGTGACCCAGGAGTTTCAGGGGCAACAGGGCAGATAGATTTTGATTTTGTTCTTGTTGTTTCGTGGTTTTTTGGTTTTTTGGGTTTTTTTTAACATTTCACAGATAATCCGCTAATATAATTACCCCTGGGTAACTGGGAATTAACTCACATCTCCCACTACGAGGCACTGTGGGTGAAAAAGCAAAATGAAAACATCATGTGTACTTCATAGTACAATATGCAAGAAACTACCTCCTACATCATGTCTGTGTGTGTGTGTATGAACACGCACGTGCGGTGTGCTCACTTGTGTACGACTCTTCAAGACCCCATGGACGGTAGCCTACTGGACTCCTCTCTCCTTATAATTTTCCAGGCAAGAATACCGGAACAGATTGTCATTTCCTTCTCCAAGGAGATTTTCCTGATCCACGGATTGAATCTGCATCTCTTGCAAAGAATCTGGCAGGCAGATTCTTTACCAATGTGTCACCTGGAAAGCCCCAAAACTGAAGGATCTGCTTTCTCCGAGGCTCGAACTCAGGACCTTCAGATTATAAAACTAATGTGCTGCCTACTGCACTAAGAGGGCAGAGAGTCTGACTTTTACTTCATGTCTGTACTCTAGTCTTTTTGTCTCCATCTGGCTGAAAAGCTGTGCAGACACTGGATGGGGGTCTATGAATCCCTAGTAGCTTCCTGTCTATTTGTTCATTTTCCAGAGAAGAGTTTTTAGTGTTTCTCAAGACTTCCTTCCTTCAGGGAAGCCTCAGCCTGTTGTGGGAGATTCATTTTCTGCCTTCAGTCTGAGGTAGAGAAAGTCCTGTCCTCAGGAAGTCCCAGTCTGAGGGGAGACACAGCCTTGCCTCAGGGGGCCCTGGTCTGAGGAGACACAGTCCCGCCTCAGGGAGCCCCGGTCTGAGGAGACACAGTCCCATCTCAGGGAGCCTACATCTGATAGAGGAGATACAACTGCTATTTCCAGGCACATCCCAGTCTGAGGAAAACAAAAAATATCAGAAGTAATTCACACATGCCAAGCAATGTTGTACCAACTGAGCCCCGGGCACTGAAGAAAGACACAGCCAAGGCAGGGTCCAAGCCCAGGCCGCCCCTGCCCCTCCTCTTAGCCCCCCTAACTAAGGCTCAGGCTACATACAGGCAGCGTGTGGTTTCAGACCCTTCAGCCAGCAATTAGTATTCTAAACATGAAATTAATTTCTCCTACAAATATGAGAACCTAGTAATTTGTTTCACTTTTATTTTATTGTCAGATAGGATTCATTTTATACATGATTTTATGGTTGGATAGGATTCATTAGAAATTTTCCCCCAACTCCTTCTCTTAAAAAAAAAATAATCCTCCTTCAGCTGTTCAGTCAGCGGTTGAGCTGGCCTTAGCTTTCCTTTGAGTCACCGGCTCCCACACGACTGCATCACCATAGCCCCAGGTTCTGCTCCATGGTTTCACTTTAATTTCCAACTCTGAAGAGCCAGGTACTGAAATGGAGATAAATCTCCCTGGAAGCTCCAGCAACTGGACCTTTGATAGTGGAGCAGTGGGGAGAGTTAATGGCTCTGGGGCTCCTCTGTGTTATTTACTGACGTGGGGACCCTCACTAGCTCAGACTAACACCTCTAATTTATTTAGTACCCACGCTGGGTCACTTAACTTTGTTACCTGCTCTTATTTCTACCTCTGCCTGTGTCCTTCTTAGCCACAAGTTCACTGAAAGCTGACCCTCCTAGGGTATGCTCGGCCTGTGCTGGGCAGGACCCCTAAATGCCAGCCTGAGCCCTTCCAACAAGAGATCTTCAGCCTTGACCAGAAGACTCTGCTTTCCCTTCTGTCCTGCTAACTGACCTCGCAGTAGTCAGAGTTAGGAACCTTAGTAGTTTTGTTATACAAGCAAGGAGGACTCCTTTCTCCTTCAGATTGGGGCTCCCTGAGGCGGGGCTGTGTCTCCCCTCAGCCTGGGGCTC